AGTCAACAGCTCTGATGGGAAGCTCTCGCTATGGAGAAAAAGGCAAGAGGAGAGAGACAGTACTGAGTGTTTGGACCTTAGGTTGCGTGTGCACATGTTGGTTTTTTGTTTAGCTTCCTTTTTGAACCCAATACTACTTAGGGTCTCTTCGGTATTCGAGATAACTTTTAGGGACCCAAAACGGATTCTAGCAAACGGGCTCCAGCTTGCACAAGAACGACCATGTGTGCGTGTGTAGCATTCTAACTGGTTAGAGCCCATTGTGGGTCACCCAAGTACGGGTCTTTGTATGCTACACCAAAACTTGTATCCGGCATGTTGCAAATGTCCAGAGAAGTTGCATAGGTAACAGAGACACGAGTTGGCAACATTGAACAACGAATCACTCTGTAGGCTCAATTAGGGTGTGCTTTGACTTCTTCGAATCAATACATGCTATTGTTAGTTCGGTGAAGTCTCAGGTAGTTGAGTAGTTTGGTGGAGTGACCTGACAACAAGCTTGTTGGATGCCCTGCCTTGCTGCAGGGCCCTTCGCCAAGACGCTGAAAAGGGACAGCTTAAACTTGCTTGCAACATCTGACGGATGGCGCAAAAGGTTGGCCAGTCTGAAATCTGTAGCATGGGCAACCCGGGCAGCACTTGAATGCATTTAGACACGCATGTGCTTGAAAGGCACGGCCATTGGACCATTCGACCTTATGCGATCGCCGATGCTCCTTCGCAGGCAGGTCGGTGGCAAGAAGCTGTAAGGCAGATGGGGTTGGGGGGCTGGGGGCAGGAAGTAGTAACTTGCAAAGCACAGGTTTTCAGAAGCGTTTGCTTTGTTACGTGGAGCAGCTCAGCCCTCAGGCAAGTACAGTAGATTTCGAGGAGTGGCAACTACGGCAAGATGACAGTCAACCAAAGGCCCCACTCAGTGCAGGAAAGCTGCATGTAGGTGACCCGTAGCCTTGGTGCATCAGGTCGTATTTTGGATGCTTTCTTTGGCCATCCATGCATATAAGCGATTTGGGAGGTTTATAGTGGATTGTCCTCTTCTGCTCAGGGTCTAGTGAGTCCAGTGCAGGTACCTTTTGAAGAGGCCTTCAGAGAGCATGATGTGCACTTCACGCGTGGCCTCGTGCAAGCACTCAAAGATATTTGGTGCAAATACCCAGCACATGTACATTTATGTATTTATGTCGGACCCCTTGCGGCATCCTATGCTTGCTTGCATTCTGATGATAGCTCTTGTTCAAGAACGTAGACTGGCCAACGCGTGCCGCTCCTCATGATGCGGGGTCAAGATGCTGGGCCCTTGGTCGCGTCTCGAGTTTGGCCAATCTTTGCAAGGCAGAGGCTGCTATTGGTTTCTGCCGTCGTACGTTTGAGACACCGAAAGAAAAAGAGAGAGAGAGAGAGAAAACGAGAGCAAGGGGAGATATGACGCAAAAGAACAACAGCTGGCAGTTGGGGTATGTTGGGGTCTTGTGGAGGGGTGCCTTCTCGGCCCATGGCCTGTGGTTGCCGCGGCAAACGCCTGAAGTTGGCCTGATTTGTTGCAGCTTTTCAGCTACTGAAACCACTCGTAGCCCTCCATATATGCGCCATGCCGCTGAATGCCCTGTGGGGCTACTATCTCTTTGATCACGTCAGTGAGGCCCGGAGTGCGCATATCAGTTTTTGGCACCGGCATTTGGCAGCGTGATTTTTGATAGAAAACCCACAACAACTGTGAGAAACATTTCCACTGAAACTTCCACGAGAGGCAGGCGCATTTGCTTGACAGCATCCAGCACCAGGAAGGTTCGGGCTCTTTGGAGGTAGGTCCCAGTCACAGAGCACATATTCATATGTCGCAGTAGCGCCACATGCGGTTTTATGTATGGGTACCCTTGCGAACTCTTCCTGAGAGGCCTTCGCCCTCCCTTCCTCACAACAAGTGAACTTAGGTTGGAGTATAAACCAAAAAATAGTCCGATTTTACCCGGCAGGCGCCCAAGATCTTCTACGGTTTTTGGTTCTGTGGCAGCCTGGGGCTGACGCTTACCACTGCCTTCTCCCTGTACCACGTGGTGCATGCGCCTCCGCCCGGCAATTTGTGCGCTTTGGGCAAGCATGCCGGTGTGTGTGTGTGTGGTGTGTGGTGTCCGGTGTCTGGTGTTTGGTGTTTTTGGTGTGTGTGTGTGTGCGTGTGTGGTGTGTGTCTGTGTGTCTGTGTGTCTGTGTGTCTGTGTGTCTGTGTGTCTGTGTCTCTGCGTCTCTGCGTCTCTGCGTCTCTGCGTCTCTGCGTCTCTGCGTCTCTGCATCTCTGCTTCTCATGTGTCTCTGCGTTTTTGCGTCTCTGCGTCTCTTCTGACGCTGCGTCTCTGCGCGTCTCTGCGCGTCTCTGCGCGTCTCTGCGCGTCTCTGCGCGTCTCTGCGCGTCTCTGCGCGTCTCTGCGCGTCTCTGCGCGTCTCTGCGCGTCTCTGCGCGTCTCTGCGCGTCTCTGCGCGTCTCTGCGCGTCTCTGAGCGTCTCTGCGCGTCTCTGCGCGTCTCTGCGCGTCTCTGCGCGTCTCTGCGCGTCTCTGCGCGTCTCTGCGCGTCTCTGCGCGTCTCTGCGCGTCCCTGCGCGTCCCTGCGCGTCCCTGCGCGTCCCTGCGCGTCCCTGCGGGTCTTGCGGGTTTTGCGGGTCTTGCGGGTCTTGCGGGTCTTGCAGGTCTTGCGGGTCTGCGGGTCTGCGGGTCTGGGTCTGTGTCTGTGTCTGTGTCTGGGTGTGTGTGTGTGTCTGGGTGTGTCAGTGTGTGTGTGTGTGTCTGTGTGTGTGTCTGTGTCCCCGTGGTCGTGTGTCCGTGTGTCCGTGTGTCCGTGTGTCTGTGTGTCTGTGTGTTTGTGTGTCTGTGTGTCTGTGTGTCTGTGTGTCTGTGTGTCTGTGTGTCTGTGTGTCTGTGTGTCTGTGTGTCTGTGTGTCTGTGTGTCCGTGTGTCTGTGTGTCTGTGTGTCCGTGTCCGTGTGTCCGTGTGTCCGTGCGTCCGTGCGTCCGTGTGTCTGTGTGTCTGTGTGTCTGTGTGTCTGTGTGTCTGTGTGTCTGTGTGTCTGTGTGTCTGTGTGTGTGTTTGTGTGTGTGTTTGTGTCTGTCTGTGTGTGTGTGTCTGTGTGTCTGTGTCTGTCCGTGTGTGTGTGTCTGTCTGTGTGTGTGTCTGTGTGTCTGTGTGTCTGTGTGTCTGTGTGTCTGTGTGTCTGTGTGTCTGTGTGTCTGTGTGTCTGTGTGTCTGTGTGTGTGTGTACTGTGCGGTGTGCGGTGTGCGGTGTGTGTGGTGTGTGTGCGGGCGTGTGTGGTGTGTGTGTGTGGTGTGCGTGGGCGTGTGTGGTGTGTGCGGTGTGCGGTGTGTGGTGTGTGTGTGTGTGTGTGTGTGTGTGTGTGTGTGTGTGTGTGTGTGTGTTTGTCTGTGTCTGTGTCTGTGTCTGTGTCTGTGTCTGTGTCTGTGTCTGTGTCTGTGTCTGTGTCTGTGTCTGTGTCTGTGTCTGTGTCTGTGTCTGTGTCTGTGTCTGTGTCTGTGTCTGTGTCTGTGTCTGTGTCTGTGTCTGTGTCTGTGTCTGTGTCTGTGTCTGTGTCTGTGTCTGTGTCTGTGTCTGTGTCTGTGTCTGTGTCTGTGTCTGTGTCTGTGTCTGTGTCTGTGTCTGTGTCTGTGTCTGTGTCTGTGTCTGTGTCTGTGTCTGTGTCTGTGTCTGTGTCTGTGTCTGTGTCTGTGTCTGTGTCTGTTATTGTGTCTGTGTCTGTCTCTGTCTGTGTCTCTGTCTTTGTCTGTGTCTGTCTCTGTCTGTGTCTCTGTCTCTGTCTCTGTTTCTGTCTCTGTCTGTGTCTGTGTCTGTGTCTGCGTGGTGCGTGTGTGTGGAGTGTGTGTGTGTGTGCGGGCTTTGTTGAATGCCAAGGCAGACCTGACGAGCATGCATGCAACATTGGATGGCACACCACTCGACTGCTTTCATGTACGCCTGCGCACAACTTTTTTTGGATGAGTCGGTCTCGAGAATGCGCGGCATGATGCATAGACTCCAGTGGTCGTTTGTTGCAGGGCTCATGGGCAGCCTGAGAAACGGCGAGGTGCTTTGCTCATGCTTTGAGAGTAAGGCTTGAAGGGGCCACAAATGGGCCATGCATGTCACAACAGGCAAGAGACCCCCTTTGTGGAATGAAACTGGCGGTGGGGAGGATTTCAGCTTTTGATCCGCAGCCAACTGAGGACCACATGACCTTGGAGCAGACTTTGCATCGAGAAGGGCACGCGGTCACTCCTATGAACGTCCAGCTTGCAGGGGCCATCAGCTCCTTGTCTAGAACGGGACATTTGGCGGGTCCCGTGGGCGGCATTAACTCAGAACGTATGGAGTCCCAGGACTGGTTCTTGGCTGGCTCCAAGCCACCATGGTGTTGGACTTGGCTTGAAAACAATGATGATTGCCCACGAGGTTGGAAGTGGCTTCTATATGCCCCATAAGGCAGTTTGCAAGAGTTTGCTTGATTCCACCCGTCCAGGCCCCAAGCGTGCAAGGACTAATTTTATCTATTTTGACCTTTGAATTGTATTGAGGCCACTGCGCCGTGTACCTGCTTGCTTTGTGCCGTCATCTCCACCCCCCTGTTGTAGAAGGATGGGGCCGTACCCCCAATAAAGGCGCCCTTCCTTATATATCGTCCTTTTGCGGGACAAGGACAACCTGCACGATTTTCCCAGTTGGCACTCGTGAGCCCTTTTTCAGTGTGAGAAAAAGGTGGCGACCTGCAGCTGGCGGAGAGTTTGAGGGTTGGCAGGGGTGAGCATGTTCAGCATGCTACCACGTCGCGGTGGTGTTGTGTCGGGCATGTCGGGCGAAGTTTTTTGGCCCTGAGGTACCTTGCCAATTTTCACGGCAGGAGCGGCCCGGCAGCGACAGGTAGACAGCAGTACAGGCCCCTCCCCCCTAGTAAGCATATCCGGCTAGCAGGGAATATTCAGGTATGAATGGGTTACATTTCTGCACAGCTGAAATCTAAGTCATGCTTTGTTTGGAATCGGTTTAGCAAGAAAGACAATATCGATGAATAGGGTGCATTCCAAATTGCCGTGCTACAATAAGAATTGGCAGTCTTGACCGTGGGTCGCATCGTGTCTTGACTTTCAAGCGCTTCGCTTTGTCGTGAAGAAGTGGGGTCTCGGCCCAAGGTGGCGTACACATGTCTTTGGGTTCCTGCTCTGGGCTTCGTTCTGGAGCTGCTGATTGCCATTTTCTCCTGCATTGCCATCGGCTCTTTGGTCCAGTGCCCTGCGAGGGTTGCCAATCTAAACTAGTTTCTAGGAGGTGTTTGCTTTTTTTGGGAGTGTTGGACACACGTGGAGGCATGCGTCCCTACACGCATGCATACATGCTGGCAGGCATACACACTAATATGTGTATAAATATATATATTTATTTATTCCTGCATGTTACATCCTCACTTGTACATGCCCTTGCACATCTGTATGATCAAGGCCTTGAGCCTACATACAGTAGAGCTACAGCTTGCCACCTGGAAACAACAGTGCCGCGCTGTCACACACAGGTCTTCAGGTATTTACATCATCAACCCAACTTTAACATGGTAGCGGAGCAGTGATCCCTGGTACACGATCCTACCACACTACCCAGGGTGAGCTCCAACACGCACTCACAGGTTGAGGTACACAGTAGTGAGTAACATGGCACAACATCAACAAGATCAGCAACCACAACAGCAGCAGCTAGAAGGAATCCACAAGTACAAGATATCACCACCACGCTTCAATGGCGAATACAACACCTTCGAAGAATGGAAGTACAAGATGACAGCATACCTGGGACTACAAGACCCAGACTACAACAGACTGCTTAGACAGTCAGAGCAGTCAGCAGGAGCAGTTACAAATGACCAACTTGAGAATGCAGCACCTTCACAGTTGCAGAGCAATGGATACAACTGAGCAACAACTTGCACTACATCCCAGTGAGCACATGCGATGGACCAGCATCTACAATCTGCAGACAAAACATGCAAGGCAACGGATTCGAAACATGGCGGCTTATACATGCAAGGTACTCCATACCTCTTGGTACAAGGAGCATTGGATACCTTACAAAGCTGCTCAAACCACAACTCGATGAACAGAAGTTCGAAGAGAGCTTTACAACATGGGAGTTCCAACTCTCAAGGTACGAACAAGACAACAACACACTACTACCAGATGCAATCAAAATCGCAGTGCTACTCAATGAAACAAAAGGACCACTACAGCAGCATTTGCAGCTACAAGCAGGAAACATCACAACATACGCACAGTTCAGATCGATGGTGATCGAGTACTACAGAGCAACAGCGTCATTCACCAGACTACAGTCAATCACATCAGGCAGCAACAGCAATCAAGGACCGGCACCAATGGACATAGGAGCAACATGGAACAACAAAGGAAAAGGAAAGAAGGGCAAGCGCAAAGGCAAAGGAAAGCACAACAAAGGCAAAGGCTACGGCGGCTACGGCAACAACTTCGGATACAACAACTACAAAGGAGGAAAAGGTAAGTACAATCAACAACCGGTTGGACAAGGAAATCCTTTCAAAGGACAACAAGGATACTCCAAAGGAAAAGGATACAACAACAAAGGAAAAGGAAAAGGATACTACAACAACCAACAAGGAGGAAAAGGGTCAAAAGGAAAGCAAGCAACAAGTGTTTGCTACAGATGTGGACAACCAGGACACATGGCCAAACAATGCAGAGTGGCGATCTACAACTGCGATACTGGCAACTTCGACACCAATGACCAGACAGATGACTGGTACAGTCAGTCACACTATGACAACAACTGGTACCACCAGGATCAGACACACATGCAACAACTAGCATTACCACAACCACCACAAATGGCGGATCCATTAGCAGTACCCATCTCAGGATTACAAGAAGTAACAATTGCCATGATTGGCGCAGCACAACAACACTCAGAAGACAACAAGTGGGTCAGTCTTATGATTGACAGCGGTGCGGCTACACATGTATGCCCACCATGGTTTGCACCACACTTCCCACTACACCAGCTTGCACATGGAACAGGACCACAACTCAGAACAGTGACCAACCAGCACATCGAGCTTTATGGGTACAGATGGGTCTGCATGACAAATCACAGCGGACAACAAATTGTCATACCATTTTACGTTTGTGAGGTTAAACAGCCGATTCTTTCAGTTACAAGGCTGGTGGAACAAGGTTTCCAACTTACATTGGATGACAATCCAAAGCTACATCGCATCAAAGGATTCAACAGCACACTGGAGAGCAGAAACGGCCTGTTCTTCCTACAAGCAGAAATCACAGCATTGCCACAAGGAACAAAGCTACAGATACACAACACGGACCAAGGACAGATCGGCATGATAGCACCGACCACAACATTGACACCACAAGGTCCTGCAGACACAGGTTATGCAGGAGACTACTGGCAATTCAACACACAAGGTGAACTTGTAAGAGTACACAGGCAACACAGAAAGACACTCTTCGCACCTTCGAGAACACAGTGTCCAGCCCCAGCAGAACAACTTGAGGACTACAGGAAAACAACCATCGGACTCAAGGATGGTACAACGAACACGTTTGAAGACAAGTGTCAAACAATGGAAGCGCCAAACAAAGCACAACCACAAATGTGGAAAGGAGAGACAACATTCAGGATCAAGAAAGGCACAACATTGCCAGAGGCAATACAGCAACAGCTTGCAACAAAGACACGGCCAAAAAGTGCACCACAGAGGGTGACACCGCAAGTGATTCAGTACAAACCGCGCACACGGCTTAGAGAGAAAACAACACCACCAACAGTTCAGGACACACCTGCGCCACACACCACCAAAGGCGCAGCTGGACAAGGACTTCCACATCCTTCAGAGGTACACCCTGGAGGAGACTACTGGTACAGGGAAGGCCCATACTGGAAGAGAGTACATGTTGAGCCCAGAACAGCGTTTTACATACCAGAGCAGACACACGACGGGCCAGACATCAAACGACTCTTGCCTTGGAGACAGACCAAGGTACAACCAGTTGGAGGAGAAAGACAACACACAAGGTTGATAGAAGATGAATGGACAACACAGCCAGCAAAGACATCAGACAAGCCTTGGACAGGCTGGACAAACTTTGAGGAACATCAAGAGTTCCCAACACAGCTCGAGTCAGATGATGAAGAACAACAACAAGGCACAAGAGCAAAAGCAGTACAGGCACCCAAGCAACCTACACCACAGGAGATTTTGGAGCACAATGTCACACACCTCCCTTACAGGAGTTGGTGTCCGATATGCGTACAATCAAGAGGCAGACAAAAACAACCATCCAAAACAGCACAGCAAGCTTCCAATCATACAACTCGACTTCGGCTACATTAAAGGCTTCGATGACAACAAGGTACATCCAATCCTCACAGCAATTGGCATCCAATCAGGGATGATCATGGCAATACAATTGACCGACAAGAGGATGCTCTTCGACTATGCAGTCACACAGCTACAGCACTTCCTCATTGAGTGTGGAAGAACAACACGCACGATACTACAATCAGATCAGGAAGATTTCCTGACAGCACTCATTACCACAGTAGCAAGCAAGAATGGCAACATCACAACCCGGAACTCAGGAGCATACAGTTCACAATCACAAGGAGGAGTAGAACGAGCACACAGAACATTGTTTGCACAAATCAGAACACTCAAGGCACAGATCAAGCAAAACTACAACAGAGACATTCCAATGAAACATCCACTCATGCCTTGGATCGTTCGACACAGTGCATACATCATGAACAGGTATGCTTTGCGCAGCAATGGATGCACAAGCTACTTCAACAGATGGAACAGAGAACAGCATACACCATTGTGCGAGTTTGGTGAGACAGTGCAATACATGCTACCAACAGTAAAACAATTTCCAAAACTAGAGCCAAGGTTCTACAACGGGATCTGGCTTGGCAAGGACACAACTACAGGCGAATCCCTCATTGGGATCTACAACAAGATTGTCAGAGCAAGGACAATCAGAAGGCAAATAATGCCTCACAAATACCACCAGCAACTATTGGACTGTGTACACACGGGTCCATGGAAGACACCAGCATCAGCACTGCCTACACCGACTCTCACAACACCAGTAACGATGCCATCAGCAAGCAAAACAATTACATCTCAGAAGGATGCAGCAACAAGCACAGCAGCAGAAAACAGAGACAAAGCACAGCACAGTCGAGCGAACAACAGCCAAAGCAGAAGAGGACAGCAGAGCCAACATCACCTATGGCTACATCACCGGCGCATCAGAAACGACCATCATTGCCAGCACCACCGCACACATCACAGACAAGAGAAAGAGATGACACAATAGCAGAAGGCAGCACCGGCAAGCAACAACGCACCACAGCAGAGAGACAAACCCTTGAGCGACCTACAACAGCAGAACAACCAAAGAGCAAGATGAGAATCAATGCCATCAAGTTCACAACAAAGGATGGTAAACAAATGGAGACAACCTCCAATGAAGACACACAAGAAATCGAAAATGAAAGGATCCTACTAGAGCCGATCATACATGACACAGAAGACCTGGATCCACAACTTGTGCACAAGGCATGAAGAAGGAAGTACAACAAATGAAAGAACAAGCAGTCTTCACAGAGATTGATGGCAACACAATGACACAGGAGCAACAAGCGAACATCATTGAATCAAGATGGGTTCTAAAACCAAAACACAACGAAGTACGAGCACGCATAGTAGCAAAAGGCTACACAGAACCCGTCACAGACCACGACCTACTCTTCGCAAGTACACCATTGTTTTGCATTCTGAGAGTGCTTCTCACAATGGCACTGGTGTACAACTGGTCGGTCTGTACAGGAGATGTGAATGTTGCATTTCTACATGCAGCAGCCATCACACACAATCTGGTAATGAGACCACCACACGAGTTTTACAACGAGGGGAACAGACACATAATGTGGCGGCTAAACAAAGCAATCTACGGTCTTAGATCATCACCAAAACACACGTTCTCACAGTCACACTCGAATTGGTGAGATGCACAACAGAAAGCAATGTCCACAGGTCAAAGGATTGCCTGGTCTACATTATGATCTATGTAGACGATCTCCTATTCATAGGAGTAGGAAGTTCTGCTTAGACACACAGGCGACCTAACAGTTGGATCAACAATCCACCTCCTTGGCAGAAACATCTCACACAGAGGCGATCACATCGACATCAGTTTGAACAACAACTATGTTGACATCATCCTGGAAGAGTCAGGAATGACTACATGCAACCCAGCACCATCACCAGGGGTATCACACATGAAAGGTACAGCAGAAGACGAAGCGCCGCGTGACCACGAACAACACAAACGATACAGGCGGCTTGTTGGCAAGATGCAATGGCTAGCATACACACGACCAGACATCAGCTATGGAGCAAAAGAGCTAGCAAGATCATTACAAGCACCAACACAGTTTGACAACAAGAAGCTCAAGCACATGATCAGGAACCTTAAGGGCACAAGGTACATGCGACACAACTTGCGACCAAAGATACAAACACAGGACAAGCGAATACCACTCAACATTGACACATACACAGATGCCAATTGGGCATCATGTCGAGAAAGAGCACAACAGGATTTGTACTGTACTTCTTTGGAGCAGCAGTACATTATGGCAGCAGAACACAAGCCACAATAGCACTTTCATCAGCAGAATCAGAACTGTACGCAATTGGTACAGCAGCACAGGAAAGCCTCTACATCGGCAACTTCATAAAAGAAGCATTTGAGGTACGCATCAACATAAGGATGCACACAGACAGCAGTGCAGCAAAATCAATATCAATGAGAGAAGGCGCATCAAAGAAAGCAAAACACATAGAGCTACGGCACCTCTTCATACTACAACTTGTCAAAAGCAAAATCATTTCAATGCACAAAGTGAGGTCTGAAGACAACCCATCAGACCTGCTGACAAAGTTTGTCAGCTGCGACACCCTCAACAAGCACTTGTACAACGTTGGCCTGTGAGGCCACACAACACCAGTTTCACACAGTTGCACAGTATGTTAAACAACAGTTGCACAGTTGACACACGTGTATGTGTCACAACTAAACGGCCGGCGCACATGTTTTAGCTTTAGGTTAGGTACAGCCATGGACCTGCCCTGGAGATGATACAGCCTTTCTGGTTTTGGGTACACAACTTTGAGTTCATCTTTGACCACATCTTTTACATCCTCGGGTACATTTTTACTGCATGAGGTTTCATACATGTTTCAGACAATGTCTTTGATACATGTCGCAGCCATTTTACATTTTGTGGAGACACACCCCTGTACATTGAAGGTACACAATGGCGATGTCAGGACTCACAAGGATCGCTGAGTACATCCCGGCCACAGAGGTCACAGTGGCGAGGACATGGGATGCGATGAGCCTTACATCTTTGGGCTACACTGAGGAGAACATCACCGGGAAACAGCCCTTGCGTACATTGGGTGGGATCCACATGGACACCATCCAGAACAAGACCAACATGATGTACATTGCAATGACATTTGAGGAGTTCACATCTTGGACACAGAATGGTGAACTGAAACACATCCATGGCTGGGCTAGAAGCCCAGAGGTCGAGTACATCGTGTTGAACAGTTCCCCTTTCGAGGCTGTCACAACCCTTCTGAATTACATTTCTGTCGGGACATGCAGGACACAGCACCTCGACACCTTCATTGTGGCCACGGTACAGCTGGATGCGAGGCACATTGCCGAGTGGGCGTCCCGCGGCTACATCAATTTCTTCAATCGGGGCTACAGTGCAGCACACATGCAAATTCACATGAACAAGACATGGATGCAGACACAAGACGAGCTGTCTAAACATCAGGTTTTCAAGTACACCGGCAACAATGGCCTGCTCGGGATCTACATGAAGTTCAACTGGAACACAGGGTACATCTGGTCCCACAACGCCTGCGTGAACCTCGAGCAACTCGCAACAGATGAGGACACATGCCGCAGACATGCCACATTGACTACATCCTCGAGCAGCAGCATCTGTTTTACATGAACTACGCTGCGACCAAGGCACAGATGTACAATGAGTACATTACAGGAGTGAAGCAGGGATCCACACTGCTGACACAGTGATTGCCGATTTTTGGCACACCGGATTTGTGGACACAAGGTGTTGCAGACACACCTTGCTGACATCAGGTCACACTTGCAGACTGTACAGCCGCTCGACACATTAGAGGAACCGTTGTACAAATTGAAACAGTCAGTAGAGCTGCTAACAATTTTACATCACCTCGACAAGCTAGAGCAGAGCACAACTGTTTGTCTTGATGTCTAGGTACATCAATCCAAGGTGGGGTGTTAATATACATCCTCACTTGTACATGCCCTTGCACATCTGTATGATCAAGGCCTTGAGCCTACATACAGTAGAGCTACAGCTTGCCACCTGGAAACAACAGTGCCGCGCTGTCACACACAGGTCTCCAGGTATTTACATCATCAATCCAACTTTAACAATGCATTTGTGCATCAGTCCGTCTATCCATAGTTTCGTCCTGTCATTCCTCCATCCATCCACCCACCCACCCACCCACCCATCCACCCATGCATTCACCCATCCATGTATTCACGCCAGCCAGCCAACCAGCCAGCCACCCATCCATCCATCCATCCATCCATACTTTGACATCCATCCATCCACCCATGCATTCACCCATCCATTTATCCATGCCAGTCATCCATGCATCCATCCGTCCGTCCGTCCATCCACGCACGCACGCACGCGCGCGGATGTAGGTATGGATGGCCGCATATATGAGCCACGCATGAATGCAGAATGCATGGAAGGTTCGTGCATGCATATATATATATATATACATATGTGCATATTATACATTCCTGCATATTTCCATCTACACATCCACATATCCATCCATCGGATCCATGCAGACGGACGGACAGACATATTTTTGTAGTTTCACAGATTCACGCAGCCATGCAAACTACATGCGATGCAAGCAGATGCAGACATGCAAACAGTGCATGTATGTGTGTTTGTTGCTGGTTGGCATGGCTGTTAGACAGTGTCCGATGCATCTGATTTCTTGGTAGGGCGGGTTATGCCGTTTTGGATCATGTATTTGTCCGATTCCGACATCGGATGGGATGGGATTTGTGTGCGCGTCCATTGGCTCTGCTTTGCGTGCGTGATCTACTCGGATGGCTGCACCAGGTACTTCCTGCAAGCCTTGGGCGAGCCTCCAGCCCCGCGCCGGCTTATGCGAAAGGCCAGAGTGTTAGCTCCGTCCCAGACCTGGAAACGTCAAGATCCGGCAAGAACTCCTGACGCAAAACCGGCATGAGAAACTCAGGCGAAAGTAGGTGCATGACGGAAGGCGATGCGGTCAACGCAGCGGACCTCACCTCAAGTCAAAAAGGACTAAAGTGCGCAAAAGTTGCCTTGTTAAGATCAAGCGGACACATGCAACCAGAAGCATAACCAGTCAGAGGCCAGTGCTTTCAGGCAATTCACGTTGGCATTTGCAGCACCAGCCAAGGCTGACTTGCCATCTTGAACAGAGGAAATAGCAGATCAAGACCTGCCACTACTTAAATCAAAAAGAGTCCAGATGCGGGTACCAAGCACAGCACGGCCTCTCCTGGCAGGTCCCGAAGAAGCGATGGTGGTGTGGCTCGCTCTGCGGAGGCAGGGAGTGAGTCTCTGCGGACATGATGGAATTGGCCCTGGTCCATTTGTGCCTGCGCCATTCAAATAAGATCTGCAGCCAACATAGACATTTCAATATGCACTGCGCACATATGGCGTGATAAAGTGCATCAGCCCCAAATGCATTGAACAGCAGCGCTTTCCAGGCTGCTAGCCTAGACAATGGCACGTAGTACATTGTGGTACCAAGTTGAGACAAACTCCTGAAGCAGGCCACTGGGGGGCACCTTTTCCAAATTGTTGCGAACCATTTTCAGGCAAACAGGCTCTCCGAGCAAAGGGGTTCCACGAAGTCAGTCAGTTGGTTTTGCCAGGTTTAGGCTGCAGAACATGTCAAAATAATGTGAGAAGACCTTGCAGTCGGTCCAACTTGCGAATCTCGATCCAAGTTGACATGCTGCAAATGAGAGGACAGCTCAGAGGTTTTTCTGCTTCCCCCTCAAAACTGCCTTTGCAATGTTCTGCGGGGAGGGAGTCCCACAATAAGCTGGCGGTTTTTTCAAGGAATTCATGTAATCCAGGTAGATGCCTCAGGATGCCTCCTGCAGAGGCCTAAATACGTCTGGGGACGCAAGGGGTACACAAGCAGGTGTGTGGTTGGGCACGTCTATCGCTTGAGTGGACGCTCGGAGCGGAAGCCGAGCCGGCGACGGCTGCTTTTGTTCCAAGCCGCAAGGCGTGAACGACCTGCTTCCTGGCCTTGGGTTGATGTGGAGCAAGGACTGGGCCATGGCCAGCCGATTCACGTGCCTGGCCTCGGATGTAGATGGCAAGCGTCACAAGATGAGTTTTCAGCAGCCTACCTGCTTGCTGTCAACCTTTCCTTGATCTAAGGGTCTAAGGGATTGGATTTGAGTACTTTGTTCAACTTTCAACTGTCGAGAACGGTTGGCTTTTCCTGAATCGAATTGTGTGAACACACGGCGCGGCAATATTTGGTGACGGCAAAGCACAAGCCTTCGGCAATCGGTTCATGTTGATTATTCGCTGGCTTGTTTGGGCCTCGATTCTGATGCTTTGGGCTTGCGCAAGTCAGCAGAACCTTTGTTTCCACAGTGCCGGCTTCCGTACTTTTGTACGTTCTGTATGTCATTCATCATGCAACATCCAAGTAGGGGCTTTCAAAATTGCTTGATGGTTTTGCGAGTGAAGGGACCCTCTTGGCAATCGTGTACAGCTGCTTTTCGGGCTGTAACAATCTCCCTCAAGCTTCCAGGGCCTCACCCAGAAAACAAGGTGATTTTGTTTGACTTGGCCTTGTGGAGCTTGCAGATCGGAATATGGGGGGCTCCTAGAGATCCTTTGGGGCAGCTTTGCTTTGCCTAACGCCAGGAGCCTCACCGGCTGCAGCTCACTGATCTCCGATTCGCATTCCGGGTGCCCGGAAGCAGTGGATTGGGGGACCGCGGGCATCGGGGCCCAGGGACCGCGTGAACAGAATTGGTGCTTCGCGCGCTCTTGGAGGGGTTCCACCTCTTGGGCCAACATGCGTCAAGAAAAAGACCCTGCTTGCCGGGTTCGAGTTTGTAAGTGGCTTCCTTTGGCAAGTGGGGTATCAAGTTGATTCAAATTCGCATTTACCTAGTCCAGACCATGACAGAGCCCTGCTGATACCATGCCAAAACGTGCCTTGAGCGAGCAGTTTGGCGTCCCCAACTGCAGGTGGTGGCGTTCTTCATTTGGAGCTTCGTCTTCCTAAGCGCCTGGCAAGCTTCTGTCAGCATGGTGCCCACCCAGGCTCGGGCTGGGCGGATGGAACGTGGGCAAGAACCCTGGAAGGAAGACCTTGTGGGTTTACCCGCAAAGAGCACGTGGCTGATGGCCATGTTGCCGAATCAAGGAGCCATTCCAGACATTCAAGCATCAACAGATCGTGACGGATCTTCGTTGAGCAACACGGGCCGCGCTGCTCCAAGCCAGAAGGATATTGTGGCCTGTGGGTCGTCGAGTTGTCCTCGCTTGAATTTAAGCGTGCGTTGTATTGGGGGTTGTCGGCAAGTGCGTGTTCCCACATTTATTTACGGCAGGCGGTATGCCGCCCCAGCCACATTTGTTGGTGATTTCAGGTGCATTATTTTCCGTTACTATGCATGACAGGTAGAGCGAGATGACCGTGGCTGGTGCAATTATCCGAAGCCCATAGGGCACACGCTGCAGGCTTGGTCGGGGTGCGGTATTAGTGAGTTGCAGGTGTTGTGCGAATGGCGCTTGTTTTTGCAAGTTCTGGCAATGGTCAGGAAGTTTAGAGGCTTTGTGTTGAACGTGTGGTTTCGATTGGGGTTCCTTGGATCTTGTATATACATCACCGGAGTTCGATACTGTGCTGGAGTGTAAGGTCCCAGCGCAGCTGGCTTGTGTCTCCCTTTATGGCTTGATCGTATTTACTTCAAGCAGGGTTTCGGTATATTCGATGAATACTTAACAGATCCATACTGTTAGCGCTGTATCGTGTTGTTCGTCCCGCCGCTTTCCCTTCAAATACCATATTTTTTGTAATTGCGATGTGGCTGAAGAGCGCATCCCACTTCGGCAGCTTCGCGCCTGAGGTGCTGCTCATCGTTTTCGCCGTGCTCTCCACTTTTGTGGGCACTGCCGGGCTGTCCATCATCGCCAACGGTGTGGCCTTTGCCCTCGGGGAGGCGGATTTTCACTGCGTGGGGCCTACATCTAGTCCGCTACCTTTGTGCAGCATATCCATGTGGGAAGGACTTCACAAAACGAGCTCATGAACTTGCCGAATGAGTCATCCAAGTCATCCAAGTCAAAAACACAAAATGCACTTCAAAAGGAACCTCTGCAATCCCTGAAGCAAGCAACCACCTGAGCAGGGGATTCAGGAGATGTTGCGCGTAATGCTTGCTTCAGCCATACGTCGAACGCAGAATCAGAAATAACTCACCTTGGTGATGCTTGCCAGGCGGATGAGGAACTGTCCAAGGAGAAGTACGGAGTTCTGAAGAAAGCATCAGTCGGACAGATCTACCTCCAGCTTCCTCTCATCAAGGTCTTCATGAGCGCCTGTCTTAGCTGCCAGGAAATGCCACACGCAGGGCGCAGGTGACGGGCGATGACAGGAAGCATGTTGCAGGGGCACGTTTCCAACAGGAAATTCCTAAGTTATGCTTCTTTGTTCCGGACCATGCCGTTGCACAACAACAGGCATGCCACAAGCGTGAGTTCAGCTCAGCCAATTGTATCAAGTACATTTGCTCAATGTACATCGGTCGGGTGCTGGCGAGGTTCGTTTGCCAAGGGCTTTCATGGCAGGCAGGCTACTGGCATCCCAGGGTCCTTAGTTTGTCCCGAGTCTGAGGTTTCTTTCCTGTGGCTTATCCCAGTCCCACCATCCTGGTGCCCAAGACGACGATGGCCTTTGCTACTGGCAAAGGAATGTGGCAGAGCTCGGGGGAGTATGTGCCATGCCCGGTCTACGATGCAGATGTGATGGTGCACATGTTCTACTGCACCACCGTGATTTTGCAACTCGGCAACAGGCCCCAAGCCGCCTTCCCAAGCTGTCCCCTTTTCTAGTTCCTGAATAGCATATGTTGGGAATGATTGCAAGTACGTGCCAGAGACCTGAACATCCAGGCTAAAGCGTCAGGCGTGGCCCCATGCCTAAATGCCGACCGCTGCTTCATTGTGAGAGCTCTTGGGTTCCAAAGAAGGGACCCGCGCAAAAGCGCGGCTTGGTATCTACCATCCTGGCGATGTTTGCCGGGTTGCCTGGATTCTTCTGACTATACTCACGTGTTTGCACAGCAGCGGGATTTGCACAGCAACAGTGCCCCGTTAGCATTTTTCATGGTCAACGCCCTGATGTTTGTAAGGGCTAAGCAGGGGTCGCTTAATTAACTGCTAAGGCAGTTCAACCCATTGAGGGCCCATGATGAACACACACTCGTGCGCAGACCTTTTTGAATCCGAATTCGTGGGGAACAATGTGATGTGTGTGTGCAGGTGAACCTCAACAACAGAAGGATAAACGCCCCTCCTTGGAGGTGCAGTTGGTTCCTCTCTCTCTCTCTCTCGTGCTCTTTCTTTCTTTGTATTTTTCTCTTTCTCTTTCTCTCGCTCTCTCTCTCTCTCTCTCTTTCGCCGTCTCTCTCTCTCTTTCGCCGTCTCTCTCTCTCTCTCTCTCTCTCTTTCTTTTGCCCTTGTCCTTTTTATATTGAAGCAGCAGGCAACTGTTCGCATGTGCTGCCGTGCTCGCCGAACGGCAGCACCCAGTGGGCGGTCCTGCTGCTTGCACTGTGTGTATGCCACACCCTCCAGTATTGAGGACCTGTTTTCGTGAGAGCCCCCTTTCCAGACTTCCTTGAGCAGGTGGTGCTGGTTGGCCAACAGATATCACAGGAAACACTTCTCCACTTGACCTGTTCTTAGTGAAGCCAATAACAAATGGACAATTGCTCCGAAGGCCGTTGGACGGGTTTGAGTTGCTTTTTGCTTTGTGAGCGGGTTCGGCTAAAATTCAGGCGTACCTTAATTTCCAAGGCCAGCACCCCCCTCCTTGCGCCAAAAGGAGTGTGGGTGCTTTTGTTCGCCTTGTTCATGTTTTTGTTGCTCCCAAAAGTGGATGTGTTTGTGCTGGTTCTTTGGTTCTTGAGGCTTAAGGTGAGGTCATGTTTCTTGCTTCTGGGCTTTCCGTAAGGCTTATGGCCTACACATCTTACCACAACATGAAGCTCTACATCCCTTCCCGGGACCGCGACGTGGCGCGCCAGCTCCGGGAGGAGCTCGAGGCGAGGCTTATCGCCTCCGGCGACGACGACGACATGCAAGGCTCGGGGGCGTCTCCAGAAGTCGCCAACACGTTTGCCGTTGAACTTCGTAGATGGGCAGACTAAATTTGTAGTATATCTGAAGATATTTCTGGGTAGATGGCCATTTGATGTTCAGGTCAGATTGGCACAGCTGTTTGCAAGGCGCTAAATCACTATGCAATATTTGAAAACATGAAATCAACATAATCAATAGCCAGAGCCACGCCGGCTTCTTGATTCGTTTACACATGTTCTGGTACGCGGAATGTGCGTTGGCATGAAGTCATGTTTTGCAATCGGCATTGTGGGTGACTTGTTTGGGCATGTGATAAGCCAACTAGATGCGGTCAGGAGGAAGAAAGACATGCTGTTGCTCGGTTCTTTTCTGCTATCTTTTGCTGCTGTCCCAAAACAGCACACACATCATGAAATTGTTTCCACCGGCTAAGGCCGACGTTGCTGAGAGGTTGCCTTGCAGGCTGCAACATGCATTCGTAAATAAGGCTTGCCCCGTGTTACTTGGAACGTCGGGCACTGGAGGCACAGATGGCTCCATCAACGACCGCTGAGATTGAGATCTGAGTGGTTCACGGTCCTGAGCCATGCAAAGGTCATTGGCCGGACCACCATGGGTGCAAACTTGCGGAGTTGGTCTTCGCGACTTTTGTGTATGACAAAGCCTGATGGGCGGCCGCGCCTGTGTTCGCATGCTGCTTTTGCGTGCAGAGGGCAAAGCCCAAAGCTTAAGCTGTGAGTACAATTTGGTTCGGGAGTGGGCAGCGCGGCCCGCAATGATGCACAGCAGCCAAAGGCTGGATGCAGTGGCCAGCGTTCAAATCGCATCAAAACAGAGCAGATTGCCGAGGCAGTTTTCGTGTTTGAAGTGTAGGGGTTGCAGGCATGTCAAGCTTGTTTGGAGCGAAATGGGGGCAGCTTGTGAGGGGCAGGAAAAAGGGAAAATCATACACCTGCTTCCCCCCCCAAGTGGGATGTCTGATGTTTAGCTTGCAGCATTGACAAGTCATGGTTCATGGTCCAAGGGGCTCGGACTTGTTGAGACAACGAAAGGCTGCAGCCATGATGTTATACTTATCACCCAGCAGTGCAACGCCGGTCAGTGTCCTTGCTTCTCAGAGGGCCACATTCCAAGAAACATTTTTTCGCCAGAATGTACCCTCTTGGTTCTGCTGAGGCTTGGCAGCGCGCTCATGAGTGATGCCGTGGGCTCTTTTAGATTGATGTCAGCTAGACATTGCACGGCCTGCCATTGTGATGATAGCGGGCCTGGAAAGACGGCGTGCGTGATTCAATGCAATGCCCGGCATCAAGCAAGCATGGCAAGTGGAATGTGCACATATATAGATTTCAGAAAGTGGTGCTTTTGTTCTAGATGTTGCTTCTAGATAGTGCAGTGCTACCTAATGCACAATTGCCAGCAGCTGCACTGGTTGTACAACACTGGCTGCTTAAGTGCTTGTTCTCACGAGTGGCCACAGCTTTCGGCCGCTCACGAAAACACTGCACGTGTTCATGCATCCAAATTGCGCTTTCATGATGACAAATGCAAGGCAGACATTTTCTGCTACAGGCGCCCTGATTGTAGCCGCAGCCAAGCTGAAAAAGCTCGAAATGAGTTGCAGCCAGGGTGTCCAGTAACCTACCAAGCAGGTTGGGTATCCAAGCAGAATTCACGCTGACTTGACGAGCGCTGTAGCTCCTTAGAAGGACATGAACCATCATTTCTCGGGTAGGAGTCTTTGTTTGCAGAACCCTCAGCGTTCAGCCATGACATTTTTCAAATTTGTCCATTTTGACCACGCAATGCCCCGCCAGTTGCCTGGATACACTTCCGAGCAGTTCGTTGCAACCAGCGGGGCTCCCGGTTTGATGAGCTTTGTTTCAGGCGCAATCCGAGACTTTCATATGCCACGATTGTGGACGCGCCACAATGATTGGTTTCCTTTTGGCCTTCCTTGGCACCAAAGATGCTTCCCAATAAGTAAGTCGGACAATGAATTACCAAGTGAGACGCGATTGATTGAAACGCCCGTTGACAGACAATGCCACAGCTGGGACACTGAAATCCACAGTCTGGCCAGTTCACCTTTTGTCCAGCTGGTGCCATAAGCCATCAGCCCTGAGTGTGGGGCTTCTAAGCCTCACCTGCCAAGGCCCGTTCCGCACAAGCATGTTTGGAAACGCAAGAAAAGGAACGTGGAAAACGGGCTTGTTCTCCAGTCACACTCCAGGTAGGCTCATGGAATCACGTGGATGCGCCTGGCAGAGGCAACAATTTCCATATGCCAAGGACACAGTGACCTTGAACTGCCTCATGTCCTGCTGCAGCCGTGCTGATGCCTGGCGGCAGGTCTGCGCAGTTCATCAAGTGGAGCGCACACCAAAGTACTTTGAAACGGGGGTGTCCCTAGCGCTGACAATCCTGTTGCTTTCTATGTAGGCCGTGAGCGTGTTCGCTTCCTTCGCGGCCTGGCAAGTCCAGCGAGACAGGACTGTCTGATCAACTGGATGCCTTTGGTTCCGTTCTTTGGCTTGAGCTGAGACGTGGGTTTGCTGATTCAACCAACTAGCAGTCAGCCGGTTTTGGTTTGGAGCCTTTTCGTGGATAGCTTACTAACTAGCCAGCAAGTTGATCACATTCCCAAATGGTCGGTGGACGTTGACCACTGCTCCCCTTCCTGCCCCTTGCCTGGGAACGTGGCAACACACTCTCCCCCAGAGTGTCACGCACCCAGCACAACATTTGAACGTTTGCCAAGGAAGTCGTGCTTGCGCCGCATTAGTTTGCACGTCGACGCATATCATATGCAACAGCCGTTTAGTTTTGGCGTGTTTTGGCGCAGCCCGATGTTCAGAGCGGAGCAATTGAATGTGAACAGTTGCCTGCAGTGTGAAAACAGTTTGTTATTGAGTCTGCGTATGCATACGTACATACATACATACATACATACATACATACATACATACATACATACATACATATTCGATATATATATATATATATATATGTATACATAAGTGTTGAATATATATATATATATATATACATATATATATACATATATATGTACATGTAATATGTATGCATTATCCACCCAGTCGAATTCTCAAAGCGGCTGGGATTTGCGGGCATGACTGGGAAGGATCAGCTTCAACTCTGCCTTGCGCGTGCCTCATTGCAAAGATGATTCAGGACAGAAGCGATCCAGCGTAATCATGGTTGTTCTCCTTCCATGAAGGCATGCTGTCACTTGCTTTTCCTTTGGCCATGCTGGGGTTGCACTAGTCACTAGCGTGTGAACATCTACCTTTTCTGGCTTGGCATCTTTGATCTTACTCGTAAGTATTCATGGCATGCCGCCGTAGGGCTAGTGGCCTCAATGTTGGCCCAACCGCCACGGAGGGCCCTTGAAGCCTTGCCAAGGCGCGCCTGTCAGGGATGCTGGCCACTGGCGCTGCAACTCTTGCAGGAAATGCCTGCCGCAGGCGTAGACGGTGGATGACAGGTCGCCGAATATTATACAGGGCTCCCTATGCGTTCCTTTCCAAGCCAATTCAAACATCGCAATTCATGGCAAGGGTAAAAGTGATGCCTTTCGTTGTGGGATGAAAGGGGAAAAGCAGAGAACCCTGCCTTATTCCGACGTTTCTTTGGTTGCTTAGGTGTTTTTCCTTTAGATTCTTATTGAACAATTCACAAAGGTCAGAGAGCCCATTTGCGCCATGCCCCGTTAAGGGCCACCAAGAAAAGCGGTGTTGGTCATTTGCAAGAAGGAGATGGGAAAGGGTATGGAGCTTGTGGAGTTGGAGGCATCGAGCCTGATGCCATCTCCTTCAACACCGCCCTGGGTGCAGTGGATAAGGCGGGGCTGGCCTCTTGACGCCCTTCAGTCAACCGTTTTTTTTGCGGTGCGCGATGGGTGCACCTTCCCGAATTGCATTGGGGCAATGAAAGATGGCTCTCGAGGTTTCTTGGCGGACCAAAATGTTTGGCGCTACCTGCCGAGTAGGAGTACCATGATGTGCTTTTTCTTCGGATAGCAGTCAGAAACCAGCCACTTTATATGTGAGAATTTATCAGGACGGATTCCATGTGTATGTGAGTCACAATCAAAACCCGGGTAGATCAAGGTTAGTAAGGGACGATCCTAACCATAAATAGCTGCGGCAGCCTTCTTAATCCTGTACATGGTTCTGGGTAGACCATTTTAGTACCAGGTTTTGATTGCAGCTCACGTGAGGTTTAGGGTTTGAACTTGCCCAACCTCTCAGGGAGGGGGCGGCTGGCCTGTGGCGCTTTGCTTGCTGGAGGTGCGGACTCATGTGTCGACGGGGTTGGCTCACCATACGCACGTGTCGAAGAAGCATCCGAACACACCATAGGCCAATGTGATACAAGCCGTTGGTTCGAACGAAGACAGGGGGACAAAATAACCAGAGGCCCTATGCGTTTCGGTAGATTTTCTTATATATTGTTTCGGTTAAAGTTGTCAGCCGACCATCTGGCGCCTGATGCCCACCTATGGCGGCTTCGATTCGCTTCGCCTGAGCTGCAAGTTGTTTTGATCAGGCTGTATACACCTACCTTTTGGAACGTCACACATGCATGCAAAGAGGCGGACAGGCTGAATGGCAAGATTCTAACGTTGAGGGGATGCAAGGGTGCCAACTGCCATGTACTCTGCATGATGTCTATTTTGGGACATATACAAAGCTACATGTCACCCCCTGGATCCTTTGCCTGTTTATTAGTGAGCCTACCGGTGCCCATATTTCCTATCTTCATGGCCCAATGCTTTTGCGCACTAACGGTTCTGGAGTGCTTAAGATCGTTGTTCATCCCCTCACCGGCTCACATGGACTGGACTTGGACCATGAGAGCATGTTCTTTCAGGCTGTTGTTCCGTTCCATGCCCCATTACCGGTGGGTCAAATCCCATGAATGTGTATCTCTTCCCGGATTGTTTTGAGGCCAAATCCTTAAAAGCCGGGAGGCAAAATGACAGAAGGTCTTGGCAGTCCAGGAAGGCTTCGATTTGGAAAGCTGGGAGGTAAAATGTTCAGGCCCGGCTGTTTGATGACACAAACAAAACGCCCTTCCATGGTTGTTGTTGGGGAAACAAATGCAATTTTGCTTATTGTGGTTTAGTGGTTGAAATCCGCACTTAACTGCTAAAGTTTAATTGCCAACGTCAACCAAGGTTAACCAACGTCAAGTTTGCCCACTTTGCAAATCCCCGGTTGACCAATCTCCACTTTTGTTCCCCTTCCAAGGTCAACCAAGGTTCTGCCCCCAAGAGGCCCCCTCCATGGCCGGAGGCCCAGCCAGGAGAGACATTCGCCGGACCGGGTCAGCGCGGCCGTGGTGGTGGCCTGCTGCCACTCGGCGACTTACTTCTAGGCCGCCCTGCTTCTATATATGTGGTCCAGTGTCTATGGTCTCCGGGTCCCTGGGAAGTATGGTCCTGCATCTATGTATTGGGTTGGTATATTTACCTGGAGCTGTTGCATGTGGACATCATGCAGCCAGCTTTGGTTGGAGCATATGATGTCGCTTTGCGTGTTGCGAGGAATGGGCCCATATGGCTGTTTTGGCATCACATGGGCTGGGCTTAGCCCCAGAAACCGTACCAAGCTTCGCGCCTCGAGGCGAAGCATCCCGCGCTGTGGCGCCGGCTGTGCGCGTGGCTCGCCGGTGCATCCAGGCCAGAGTGGCAGAGCACAAAAGAGGCTGGTCAGAAATCCATCAACGAACTATTGTACTGCTATGGCGGTTATTATATATATATCTATACACGTGTGTGCTTGTGTGTGCTTGTGTGTGCTTGTGTGTGCTTGTGTGTGCTTGTGTGTGTGCTTCTGTGTGCTTCTGTGCGCTTCTGTAAGCTTCTGTGTGCTTGTGTAAGCTTCTGTGTGCTTGTGTGTGCTTCTGTAAGCCTCTGTGTGCTTGTGTAAGCTTCTGTGTGCTTGTGTGTGCTTGTGTGTGCTTGTGTGTGCTTGTGGCTGCTTGTGTGTGTGTGCTTTGTGTGCTTGTGTGTGCTTCTGTGTCCTTCTGTAAGCTTCTGTGTGCTTGTGTGTGCTTGTGTGTGGCAGCTTGTGTTTGCTTGTGTGTGCTTGCCTGTGCGTGTGCGTGCATGAGTGCGCGCGCGCGTGCGCGTGCGCTTGCGCGTGCGCGTGCGTGTGCGTGTGCGTGTGCGTGTGTGTGTGTGTGTGTGTGTGGGTGCGTGTGCGTGTGCGTGGGCGTGGGCGTGTGGGTGTGTGGGTGTGTGGTGTGTGGGTGTGTGGGTGTGTGGGGGTGTGGGGGTGTGGGGGTGTGGGGGTGTGTGGGTGTTTGTGTGTGTGTGCTTGTGCGTGCTTCTGTGTGCTTCTGTAAGCTTCTGTGTGCTTGTGTGTGTGTGCTTTTGTGCGCTTCTGTGTGCTTCTGTGGCTTCTGTGTGCTTCTGTAAGCTTCTGTGTGCCTGTGTGTGCTTCTGTGCGCTTCTGTGTGCTTGTGTGCTTCTTTGTGCTTCTGTGTGCTTGTGTGTGTGCTTGTGTGCTTGCGTGCTTGTGTGTTTGTGTGTTTGTGTGTTTGCGTGTTTGTGTGTTTGTGTGTTTGTGTGCTATGCATTGCATGTGCTCACATGGTTTCGCATAGAGGGGCGAGATACATTAAAACAAACCGTGTTTTTGACCCATGAGCCAGCAAGTGTATCCCGACAATTGGGTGATTTCCCAGGCAGAAGCTTCCACATGCTCGGGTTTTTCTGCCTTTGTTCAGGAGACCCAAGAGCCAGTGGTGCTGCCAGCGCTGCAAGAGGCCGCGCCTGACTGGCGCAAGGTTTTAGCCAACTGTAGGTCCAAACCAGAGCCTGGTTCATCCAAGGTGACAATTGGTCAACTGGCTGACGCCTCACAGCGTCGAGGTTGAGCAATGTTTGTTTGATGTGTGCCATGTCGTTTTGGCATTACTGGTGGGCTTTTGTGCTGCTTCGGCTCGGCCGGGCTTTGCCAGGTGGTTCCAAGTTTCGAGCACACCTCCGTGCTGTTGCAAGAGGCGGCGTTGGTGTCGCTGACGTTGCCAATAGTCAGGGATGGTGAAACACCGTGCTCTGGCAAATCATCCACCTACTGTGGATGTTTGCGAAATCCATGTCGCACCACCTAAGAAGCTCCAATGAATGATTCGATTCCCCTGTAAATGCCAACGAACATCAAACAATGTGTTCCAATGACTTCAAAAATTGTAGATTTCGTTTGATGCCCCCGTAAATGCCAACAAACGGTGTGGTTTCCCGTGGCTCCAACTGGTGCGAAAATGGCTGCGGGTCCAAAATGGGTACCCAAATTTCAACCCTGCTAAATGGAAATATGAACTAGCATTTGCGGTCCCCTGGTTGTTTGACCAACAGCCAAATGGTGCGACCGGATTTCGTGCCCAAGATCCTCGCTGTGGCCAGGTGCTGGAGGCCTTTGCGGCGGTGCAGCCGGCTCTGGTGGTGGACTGCAGCTTGAGCCTGTGATTTTGGGACGGCCGAATTTCGGGCGGGGACGCGGAAAAGGAAACTCTTATAGAGAACGGCCACTTCCAGGACTTGCGTCAAGATGTTGCTTTTGAAGCTCCAAATGGCCAAGGTGCTAAAAACCACAAACAATTGGAGAAACCGGCGGTTTTGCCAGCTGTTCCATGGCTTCTGGGCAAGTTGAAATTGCAGTTTTTTTAGCGTTTGCTGGGGCCCCGCAGAAGTATTCGGTTCGGCGTGTGCTTTCGGCTTGTTAGCTGTTTTGTTTGAATCATCCGAGAACGGCCAGACATTTCAATGGAGGCAGTTACTAAAGTTGAAGGTCAAGACGACTGAGGATAGTCCAACTGTTGCGAACCATTGCTGTGGAGGGGGTTGGGTTGGGCAGGCCAATGGCTGTCCTTGTTACATTGAAATTATTCAGCCGCACAAGCATTAGCTGAAAGCAGTTGCTTTATGTTGCTTCTTCATTGCTGCCAGGCACCTTGGGCGGAGCCGGGCATGGCAAGGCCGGCAGACAAGAGACTTTGGCAAATTTCACCTGCGACAGGTTCGTCTCCAGCTGGAACCGAGGAGTTACTGTTCAAACACATATCCTGCTCACCTTGCTCAAAGGCGTAGCAATTTGTTTTGCGCCTGGTTCGCGTGTTCACAGGGTTCGACTCCCGCCCTGTCCTGGCTGGATTGGTTTGCAACTTGCTGCTGAAACTCATTGCCCGGGCGCGTGCTTTGTTGCCTGTGTAGATTTGCAATTTCAACCTTCCTGGTTTGCGAGCTGCGACGATACCTGTGAAGAGGACTTGTGCACAGCGGGCTCCTAAAATAGGCCGTGTTGGCTCTTTTGGCAAACGATGCCAGCTTTTGGTCTGCTATTTCTCAAGTTTTCGTCGCACGTGACAACGGGGTGGACAGAGGTCGCTTTGGTCTTAGAAGAACGGTGAGTTTTCTTGGGGGCCGTTGGTTGCCTTTTTCTTTTTTGATCTTTTTTGGCAAGTGGGACTGCCGCCTGCAGGCACTTCTGGAGGCCCTTCCGCAGGTGGGCAACGGGCTGGTTGGCCCCGCCTTGGGTTTCAGCGCACTTCAGATCAGAAAACCGCCCTGTGACTGCGCTGTGCATCTACTCTGCGAGCTCATCGTTGATGCCTGCCTTGTGGACCCGAATGCCTGTACCAGAAGATGCAAAGAAGGTCAAAGGGCAAGGTTTGTGTCCACCTGGCTGGTCCTGAGTTAACAGATGGCTCAGGGTGTTTTCGTGTGTTTGTCGGGTTTTGCTGGTGAGTTTTCCACGTTTGGGGGTCCTGTCCCTGGCCCCTCTTGCCAGACACCAAGACTCCAGGTGCGTTTGCTGGGCATCGACCGTGATCCGGCAGCCTTGGCAGCGGCGGCAGAGCGACTGGCGCCCTTCGGATCAGATCGCCAGAGCCCCGCTTCCTTTTTTCTATCAACGGCTGATGTGTCAAGGGTTGGGCTGCAGCCCATCCACAAAGATCAGGTGTGACGGGGTTTTATTGATTTGAGTATGTGGGCAATTCTGGATCCCAGGCCCCAGGCCATCAAGTTGAAACCTGTTTCCAAAGTCGTACAATGCGGGGAGTTTCCTTGCATCAGGCACACCGTGCAGGTGTTTGGTCGCACCAACGAAATGCGGGCACTCCAGTCATTGGCAGGCTGTGTCCCTGTTTGGAATTAGACCCAAGGATGGGACGTGCCAATTTTGCCATTGCTGGCGTTGGGCTGCTGCTGCTCCCATTGCCTCTCAAGCTTGTAGTGAGCCGGTTGTTTCACTTGAGCTAACAAGGGCCATCAGTGCGACGCCCAGTTGCAGCTGCAAGGCCAAGTTGACTGACTACAGCGCAATATGCTGAAAACCTTGAAGGGAACACACAGTGTTGTTGGCTGCCATGAGTTACAAGTTGTTCTTGCAGCTGATTTGCTTCTTTGCCAGTGTTCTTTTGGGTGGAGCACGTGTTTGTTGATCTTCACCAGCTACACCAGCTGTTGCCACGTTTTGTCGGCCGTGTTTCCGGTGGGCAGCCATGGCAACCATGCGAGCTGCGGTCTACAGTGCCTTTTCTGGGCCGATCACGGTGCAGGAGGCGCAGCCTGGGAGAGCCTTGTTAGACAAATGACCTGTGGAGGTGAAACAGCAGGTCTGATCTGGCCAAATGGGGTTCCCCATCCGTGTTGCTTGGGACCTAGAACGCTGATGTAGGTTCTTTGGCAAACGGTGCACCCTGGCTTTGCTAGGTTTGGGCCAGCTGCCACAAGACTAAGAGCATTTGGCTTGGGAGGTCAACAATCGTATGCGGTCTAGATAGGTCATTATGGGGTGGCTTAGTCAATTGCGGATCAAAGCAGGGGCATTGCTAAGAAACACATGCTTGAAAGCCAGCAAAGGTATATGTATGCATCATTGGCTGGCGCGCTGATCGTGCTTGACTCCAAACAGGTCGAACTGCGCTTTACGAAACAAGCTTGCGTTGAGCCAATGCCATGGGTTTGCAGGCGGCAGGATTGGCGATGGTATTCTGTGGGTGGAAGGCTTTGGGGCCTGACGGTGGTCGTTTCGCGGAAGGCTTGGGGGCGGAACGGAATTTTGGTTGGAAGGGTAGGGTATGAAGCAGTTTCAGCACACTGGTTCTAAGAAGAAGGAAGACTTGTTTTCAAGGTACGCAAAGAATGGATGGACTGTGGTTCAGTTCGGGAACAGGACAAATGCTGCTGTGGCCGCCAGGAGCTTGCGCTCATTCGCGTGCCAAAGCCAGAAGGCAGCAAAACTGTTTGGAGGGTGCCCGACTCTGACAGTATCCAGCCGCACAGGTTCCCAAACCCACTGCCCCTGCTGGCGGCTTGCTGCTACGGGTAAAGGCAAGGCCCGGTAGCAGAGCGATGTGTGAGTTGGGGTCAACTCGGAAAGGTAAAGTTTCACAGCATACTCGCAAGCTGGGTCGGAATTGGGACCCGATACAGAAAGAGAGAGAGAGAGAGTGATTCAGCAAAGCAACCACATGGCATGACGCAGCAGGTTGACAGGCTGGCACTTGTCAACCGACATCATGTTGGCATATGCAGGTGTTGCCCATTCAATTTCCAGCATTCACAAACCAATGGCGCATGCTGTGGTGCTCATCATGTTGGCTTGTTTGGTGCGCGAGTGTTCCTTGGGGCATGGGGCAGTACCTGAGACGACAGCCATGAGAGATTGCTAGGCCTGCGGGGTTTGCCGCTCGGACTACCACGGCTGGAAGGGCCTGGATGGCGACATTGTGACGTGCCTCCGCTAAACTGCCGCGCTAAATTTACAGTAGCGGCGACAATAGCTGGTCCAACTGCTGGAGCTGGGCTAAGTCTTGCTGGACCTTAAAATGAAGGATTTGTGCAGGTTCTTGCAGGTGCTGCGTACCGCTTGCATACAAACACTGTTCTTTTTCAACCACTGAACTTGCGGGGCCAAGTCAGCTCACACTTTTCGGAGAGCCTGCTTCGCCTGCACACATCAGATTGGGGGCCTTTGATGCATCCCAACAGTCCAAGGCATGGCCTGCCCTTCACGCCGGGCCATGAGCTGCCCCCTGGCCCAAGAAATTGCCGCAGACGAGCTCGAAAAATCGTAGGAAAGTTCGGAGCTGAGCTGACTCGGGATGAAGCGAGCGCAACCGGGAGGAAGCGTTCTTACTTGGGGAATGTTCCCATCCCGATGTGTTTCAAAATGCAAAGCAGGAGTCGGCCATGGCTCTCGTTGGCGCTAGGAGTGGCGTGGTGGTGAAGCTGGGCCAAGGGACCACCAAGTTCCAGGCGCTGCAAGGGCCCGAGTCTTACGCGGGATAAACCCATGGCCGTTTGCAGCAACAAAGTCCCCATGTTGAGATCCGGCATGGTCCAACAAGCGGACATTTGGAGCACAAGAGGAAGGCCTAAGGAATGTGTGTTGCCGGATGGGTTCATGCTCATGCCACGGGCTGATGGGCCATTTGGTCATGAGCCCATTTGCTGCTGCAAGATACCAGCGAGTGCTCTTTGGAAACCTCGGCCATTCTTGAGGAATGAAAGAAACAACATGAGTGGGGCTAATCGGATTTCCATTTGAGCAGCAGCAAGTGGCTGCGGCGTTTGGCTTTGAGACCAGGGGGAGGACGTCATGTTCAGCTCCGCAGAGTTTTGTTGTGAGTGTTTATAGACCCGCGGCCAGTCCTACATGTTTGTTTCGTGAAAGTAGGCCCTCGACTGGCATTTTGCGTACTTGATTGACTTACTGCGCAGCTGCCCTTTATGGACCAATGCACTGGCACGGATACACATGCTACACAAGTCTTGCAGGTGGGTCGCCAGAAGCCGGCAGTTTTGGCTTCTGCAGCAGCAATCTTGCATATTGGCACCCCGCTAGACACATGCGCTGCACAGTTGTTTCAGTCTTGCTCGTTGAAGTCTAGGAGTCGGCAAAGGCCGACCAGCCTCTATCAGGTTTGTCGCAACATGAAAAGGATATTGTGCCTTTGTCAGGCGAGTTTGCCATGTTTCTCACATTGGTTTCTTATATGCATTCCATTCATACACGCGCATATGTATGCATGTGATACCGACGTCAACAAGGCAGCGGCGCATGTTGCAACGCACACCAGCTCGATGGGACAGGTTGGCGACCGCGTGGCTGTGCCCTTCATCTTGAGCTGCGGGAACTGCCGCTACTGTGCCAAGGGGCGGCCGACCATTTGTGAGGCGCAGGGCAACAGGGGGTGTCTCTTTTTGAGAATACCCGTTTCATTTGGAGCTTTCCCACACTTAAAGACAAACCCGTTGTATGAGCGACAAAGACGGCAATGCAACTAGAGCGAGATTGTCACGATTTGCGAGTGGAGGACTGAGACCAAGAGTCTTTGAAAGCTTGAGGTTCCATTGCGGATGGCCCATGGTGCTTGCGCAATGCGAGAAGTTTGTTTCCGTGGTTCATGCTAGAGTGTGATGTGCTTTTGCGCAGGCATGTGAAGCTTCTCAACTCAAAGTCGTGCAAATACCATCTCCTTTTCCTTCCCTTGACGCGGGTACGGCTGTCCAAGACTCTTATTGGGCGGTCGCCCAACAGCTGAAGGTGTTGCTGCAACTCAAGGTTTGCAGCTGATGTGCAGTGCAAACATCAAGCCCACCCACGGACACTGACACAGACACAGACAACAACGCCAAAAGCACCAGCCCAACCCAACTCAGCCCAACACAACCCAACTCAAAACCCAACTCAACCCAACCCAACCCAACCCAACCCAACCCAACCCACCCACACACCACACACGTACCGACACTTAGACACATAGAACCGTTTCACCGTAGAGACGATATGCACACGCACCCCTCGAAACTCTTCATGGAACAAGCGTATGGTCGCCCTTGTTTGGCACTGATACCTGTGTGCCGTTGTGAGCCTTTTAATTTCCAGCCAAGCTCCTGCAGCGTGGGGGTTGTGCCTCATTTTGCGGGAATCCTTGTTGCTTATGGGGTAGGCTGCGTAATGCTGCATGAGTGGACAGACCCCACTTAGCGCTTAGTTTGCTTCAGTACTTGATATCAATGACTTTGAGAACAGTGGGCAGCCCGCACCCCTTCTTTCGGTTGCAGTCACGTTGATTGATGTTGATTGTATTTGGCTCCTGTTGTTCCTGCACATGCAGCCCAAAAGAGTTCCTCAATATAATTTGGATAGAAATTGAATTGGCATCGAAATGAACTTTTGGGAGCGCCAAAAGATGGATGCTGGATGGATTTTCTGTGACGCCAAAGGCATCCCCTTTAAATTGATGAAGTGGTCATGAGGATACATTGGTATATTGCTATCGCAGCAAAGCACCAGTGCCGCTCAGGCGCAGGCCCAGCCTGGCTTCACCATGCCCGGGGGCTTCGCAGAGTTCGTGGCGGTGCCGCGGGCCGACCTCAACGTGAGCTTGATGCCACCCAAGGCGGTTGCGCATTTTGGCGGATGCGGGATGCGGGATGCGGGGTGCGGCGGGGGGGGGGGGGGAGGGGGGGGGCAGGGGGGAGGGGGGAGGGGGGGGAGGGGGGGGAGGGGGGGAGGATGTTGTCTTTCAGCAGCAACATCTATTTGGTGATTCCTGGTATGTTCCGTTGGTGATATTTACAGGGGACATGGAAGGGAACCCTGGGATGCGTCGAAGCTGCGAAGTCCTGTACTTCGGGTTACTTACCTTATTGCCATCAATTGTGAGTGGAATTTTGAGAGTGTGAAATTGATAGACCCAGCGTTAAATGTTTTTGGTATGAAGTCTATTACCTGAAAACGCACCCCGTATGTCGTTCACACTCTGAGGGAGCTGCATTGTTCGCATTCGACCTTGAGATCACATGCACGTTCTGACAGCCAGACAGCAATGGATGCTCATCGTTGTCATAGCTGCAGTTCTTCTAAGCAGTGTGAGGCCAGCTCAGAGCAAAGAAAACTTCAATGGTGCTTCAGGGAGGGTTGGGAAGAGGAATGCTCATGGTTGCGGTTGGAGCATGCATCTGCATGAGTTTAGGATACTGGCTACTTAGCTTTTGCCCACAGTTTGCGTTCGGAACGCTTGATGTAACTGATGGACTGGCTGGCCTGAAATGGTTGAACCTCTCTGGACTCGGGACTCGGAGGTCAGCTTTCTCCAAGCCGCGGCCCTGGGCTGCCGCATGACCACGGCGTACCGTGCGGCGACATGGCTTCGTGTGTCGCTTCTCGGGGGCACGAATTATCGGCATTCGTCCAGTGAATGCAAGGGGAGAGTAAAACCATGTCAAACGCAGATTGGCCCCGGGTGCATCTATACCAGAATATCCATCAGTGTGCTTTGTCCGGCCAGCACGCAACTTGAGACATTCGCATTGATTCGTTGCGTGTGACCTCCTGCCCTATTGCTCTTGTTTAGTGAGGGTGCGCACAAAATATTGCTCAATGGTAAGTGGCGCGGTGTTCGCAAATGAGGCCAGAGAGATTCGAGCCCTGAACATCCCTGAACCTTCCAAGCTGGAGTCGGATGCACTGTGGTTGCGCCATGGCCCCTTGACATTATCTTGCCCAACCGCTGAAATCTGTCCAAGCACCCCCGCGAAACAAAATAATTAGCTGACTTTTTGCTGGTCTGCTGAATCAAGTTTAATAGAGGCGTTATAAACTGGACACAACTCCATGAGTGCATGGAGTTGACACCGTCCGCTGGTCAAACGGAGGTGGTGCAGCAGGGCCGGCTGTCTGCTGGGGAGACGGTGGCCGTTTTCGGCTGCGGCGGGCTGGGTTTGTCGGCAGAAGCTCGGCCGAGGCCAACGTGGCAAAGGCCAAGGCAAGTACGAGGTGTACAGAAACTTACTTGGTTGCCTGTGGCTCCTGTTGTTCTTACCGTGATTCGGTCAAAGAAGCGTAGAAGTGCAGAGGGGGTCATGTCAAAAGGAAAGTACTCCACCATGTAAGAGTTTTGCAAGCTTCCATGAGGGATCGAGGGGCAAGCTCGCAGCCGGCGAAAGCGGCAGACCCACCCCCCTGCCCTGAGTTTAGAAATTGGAAAGCGGTCTCAAGTGTGCATTCTTGTTCAACGTTGACGCGGGAACGTGAGAGTGAATGCCTGTTCAGAGGTGCTTACGCTGTTAAGCCATGGCAATCCGAGCTCCAACTGTACCAAGATCATAGGGTGCGTCTGGAAGGCTCACCAAGGATTTGTGGCAATCGTTTCCCATAGCGCGCTTGAGGTGATGATTGCCGTCGCCGCGGTGGAAAACGTACGTGTCCTGGCCGTGGACACCAGCGAGGAGGCTTGCAGAAAGGCCCGGGAAGTGCGCCACAATATTTTCAAAAAAAGTGCTGAGTGTAGGGTGCAGCCACCCATTGGCTTAAAAAGCATGTTTCAACCACTGGTTATGAGGATTCTTCCCTTGTACAGGTGGTGTTTTATGCCATGTTTAGAGCTTGGCAGGCATTGGGTGAACATGTATCATCAATTGTTATGGGTCTGCCATTTTGGATCAAGACTGAGCCAAATTGGCAGATACCTTTTTGGTTTTCGGTTATATTGTTGACTGGAGTGGGACTCCGGTATGTCTGGCGCCGATGCAGGCCATTTGGTGGCCCATTGTCAGGCGCGGATGTTGCACCCGGCGGCCCTCATGGACTTCGAATCCTACGTGCAAGGACTGCTGGCCCGTGGGGAACGGGACCAGGCCGTTCGGCTGTGGAGGGCTGTTGTGGTGGTGGTGCACCTCCCCCCAACCGAGACCTCTGAATTTCGCATTCATTCCCTGGGGTCGTTGCGGGAGGTTCCCTGCATGGTGGAAGGGTGTGCTAGGTGCACAGAGATGCGTGGGGGGTTCCAGTTCCCGTGGCTCGGGACATGGACCAAGCGCGCAGTCCTGGTTCAAGCGGAGGTTGGCCCGGAGGCAGCTTGGGACCTTTACTATGCGGGCCGGGACTACCTGCATAAGGTTCAGCTTCGGGCCGTTGACTCGGGCATGCGAGTGCAGCAGCTGGTCCCCGAGCACGTGGCGCGTTTCATTGGCTACGTGGAGTTGGCCGGCCTCGAGGAGTGTGGCCTCGATCGGGAGGCCGTCTTCTGGGCGTGAGGAGGTGGCAGGCAGGCCGGGTCTCTTGGCGAGAGCCGGCATATGAGCCGACTCCGGCGACTGGGAGAGTCGCGATGGGGCCACCGCTTGGGCCGGGAAGGCTCTGGGCCAGTGGCTGGCTGGTTTTGCAGCGGGAGAGCGTGTTTTTCCCCCCCCTTGCATGCGGTGTGGTGCCCTCACACGGCACGTCATCCGGGACAGGCCGCTCTGCGAGGAATGCCTCAGCCATTTGGTCTCTCTGGGGGATCCTTAGCGCCATGGCAGCTGTACCGACCGGGATCTACCCTCGCCTGGCGGGGGACGCCGGGGGGCAGTGGGACCCGGAGTCGGCTTTGGGCGCGGTGGGCGCCCAGCACACCGCCAGGTGGAGGCGCGAGTACGGGCTGCAGAATGATGCGGACTTTGCGTTCGCCTTCCGCTCGTTTGAGGAGGCGCTGACTGCTGGCGGCAGGGACCTGGCCAACACGTGGGTGCGGGTGCGTAGCGCACAGGAGTCCGAGCTGCTGCCGGCTGCGGCTGATGTGGTGGAGGGTGAGAGCCGGGGGACGGCTGTTCACCTTCCTTTTCGGCCTCTGGCCCCTCGGCCTTCGAGGGCTCCGGCGGTACGCCTTCGTGCAGTTCAAGACGAACCGGAGGCGATCACGATGCAGGTCCAGCGGCTCGGCGAGGCACTGCAGGACATGGGGGCGATGAAGCCGACAGGAGTCCTGACGGAGCAGCTGCGGCGCGAGTGGAGAGGATCATGTACTCGTTTGGCGCAGCGGTTGGTGACGGAGGCGGAAAGGGCCACGGTGTTGAACGCCTTGCGCACATGGGGTGAGGTGATCACCTTCATGCAGGCGCGTTCTCGCCCGCTGCCGCCGGAGGTGGTCGACCTTGATGTTTTCCTCCACGAAGGAACAGCTGCCCCGGCCCGTGCTACCCAATCACTGCGCTGGCTCACCAAGCAGGCGAGGGTGGATCTGGGGTTGAGCATGCTCACGCCGCCTGCGGGACAGGCGCGCCGGGCAGGGCCCAGGGGACAGGCAGCCGTGGTGGAACCGGTGATGCTGCTGAAGATGGAGCAGCGGATGGAGGAGCTCTACACGCAGGGCGATGATCGCTGGCAAGCGTTGCTGGCGGCATGGATGCTCTATGGAGGAGTTCTACGCCACAAGCACCTCACTCGGGCGGAGGTGCGGAAGGTAACCATGTCGACGGTCCATGCGCACTGCATCAAAGGGAAGCAGCGGCGCCTTCGCAAGGGCTTCGACTTCTGCGTGCCCGGACAGCTGTCAACCGGGTGGGACTGGTCGGCGGCCTGGCTCCATGACTTTGCCCTGGTGCCGGAGAAGCAGAAGGCAGACTGCGGGCTGGCGTTCCGTCGGGAGGGGATCCCGTGGTCGCTATCCGATGTTTACCGGATGGTCCGGCATGAGTTTGCGGACTTGGTGGAGAACCCGGCGATGGTGTCGTCGTACTCATTCAGGCGGGTTGGTACAACGGTGGGCCAACTGGTGGGGTTCAGCGCCCTCGACATGGCGGCACTGGGCGACTGGCAGACCAAAGGCGACGTTCCGGAGGATGCTCGCATGCCATTGCACTACAGCGGGGCCAAGTACGCGGCGTCCTTGTTGGCCAAGCACAGGATGGTGGGAGCGGTTGCGGCTCTGACCCACCACGAGTCCTGGGAGTTGGTTCCGCCGGCGGAGGTTCAGGAGGCGGCCCAGGCTGGCCAGGCGGCGGCAGCCCAAGCCAAGGCGCGGGACGCCCAGGTGGTGTGGGCGGCCCCCCCACGCCCCAAGGAGCTTCAGAAGCGCTTCGCCCTGACGCAGAAGCTCAAGCGGATCGCCAAAGCCAAGGCAGAGGCAGCTAAACCAGCTACCACGATGCCGGCCTCGCTCAACGGCCGGCGTCTGACCGCAGTGATGCGTGATGGCAAGAGGCTATGCCCGGCGTTCCAATCGGGGCAATGCCCCGGGGAGCGAGTGTGCGGGTTTGCACACCTTTGCGCATGCGTCCGCTTGACGGGGAGAGCCTGCGGAGGGAAGCATGCAGCGGGCGTGTGCCGGGTGACGAAGGTGGTCATGGTGGAGGACCCGGAGGCGTCCATCCCGGCCCGGCCGTCAGGGGCCGCGAGCAGTGGCTCGGCTAGTGCCGAAGCGATGATGCTGTCGCCCAAGATCAAGGCGGTGCCCCAGAAGCGGCCGCCAGAGCCGAGCGGCCCTGGTGAGAAGCGGAGGAGGCGTGACGCCTGGCCCGAGGGTGACTCGGAAGCCCCGTCACAGCCTTCGCGTCCGGCGGCTGTGCTCCCTGTGGCCCAGGGGGACCAGCTGTTTGATGCCCTTGCGGAGGAACGCGCTGCGCAGGTAGCGACGTGCATTTACCAGAATGCGAAGGGTGGCCGTTTGTGGTTGTCCGGACTCCCGAAGCAGGTGGAGGCGCCCAATTTCCCGCCCGTGACTCTGCAGATCATTTGCCTCCCGAACAGCCCGGAGAGCCGGGGGGGTGTGACATTGCCGGGGGCGTTCCCGGTGTACATGCCCATCACGAAGCCACGGGACCGCACGGAGGGCTGGAAGAACATGTGGGCTGTGCTGCAGCAGACGTTGGCGGCTGGTGAACAGGCGCTCGTGCACTGCATGGCGGGCCGGCACCGGGCCGCGGCAATGGGCATCCTGGCCCGTGCAGTCTTGACCCGGGAGACCATCTCGGAGTCGGAGGCGTGGATTCGGGCCCGCAGAAACATCGAGTACAGCAAGATCGCCCACGATAAGGACACCGGGATGTGGGTGGAGCGCATGCGGCAGGAAACGAGGGTGGGACCCTCGTGGCCTTTGCCGGTGGGCTACGTGACCACGGTGCGCTCGAACATCCACCTGCGCATGATGAACGATGCGCCGCTGTGCAGCCACAAGCAGGCGCGCTCTGGTGCTGGGCGCTTGAGGGATCCGATCCTGTGCGACACCTGGGAGGAGGCGTCAGCGTGGGGGCGGACTTTGTGCCACCTTTGCCAGGGGCGAGCTCCAGCTGGGTGGCGGCGCAGTGAGTAGACCATGGCTGATGTTTTGCGGTTTTGCCTTGTAGCGCCCCGGCGCGTCCAAATAAGCTTGGGTCCCCATTTTGCACGGGCCTCAGCCTGTGCCGACGGGCCCGACTCTGCTGAGAGCGAGAAGAAAGTCGGTGTTGAGGACGAACTGTTTTAACCCCAGAACCTCTGAGGCCCCCCCCCAAGGGGTGTGAAGTTTGGCTGGGACCTTAGGTTTTGGGGAGAAGTGGAAGGGCGAGGGACAGCCCCCCGCAAGTGATGCTCCACGGCTTGACTCCATTGCACCTGCACTGTCATGGGGGTTTCCGTGGGAGACAGGGAGGGAAGTCGGTCATGGGACGGGGTCTGCCTCAGCCCATTTCGTATTGCAGGACTAGATCCGGCGTTGACAGCCAGGCCGGGGAGTGACCCCGGCGGCAATGGCAAGTTTGGGGTTGGTGCCTCCACCTGGGAAGACCATTGAGGAAACCCTTGGGGCCCTGGCAATCAACTTCGATTTGGAGCAATCGGTCGTCCAAGCCCTCCTCAAACACAAGATAGCCAACCTGGAAGAATTTCGGTTTTTCTTCGACTCGGAGGCACAGGTTGAAACCTTCCTGGGCAAACTGAATCTGGGTTTTTTTTTTTGAACTTGATGACGCGCACCCTCAATCCGTGACACACGCCGACTAACGGCCCGGTCAAGATATTCAAGACCGGAAGTGGGGAAAACACCGCACCTGATGCAACCAGACCAAGAACCAGGGGGGCCCAAAGGAACCAAAAAAGGGGGGCCAAGAACCAACAAGAACAAAGCATCAGGCGCAGCAATCTACTGCATGCGGGCAAGAGGTGCAAGCCCGTCTTGTGTCTTCTTCCAAGCTCTGAGTCTAAGCGCGGCAAGGACATCTGGCTTTTCATCTGCTGGCATTTCAAGGTTAACGACAGGCTCCAGTGTCGGGATTTCAGGCCTTCCCGCACCACCGAAGCGACCAGGCTTACACGTAGACAAGACAGCCTGCTGAACAACAGCAGCTGTTTCTTGTGATCTGACGAGTTCAGGTCGTTGAATCAGGCCAGAGCCATAGTCAATCGGTAGTATTTTCTGGAGTGATCTGATGCAAGTAGCCTCTGGGTATGGGAAGAGGGGCTGGTGCAAGAGCATAGCCACAGTGCGCATGGAGTCTACCCACAATCTACG